CGCTATTGCCTCTGCGTCTGTTCTCAGTGCTTCTGGCAGGATTCCATCTGGTCCTGATGCTTTCCCGCATTTCAGTAGCTTTATGGCACTCAGGACTTTGACTTTTGTTGGGGGATTTTTGTTCACTTGTAGTTCTGTGGCTGGGCTGCAGGTGGTATTTCTAGACGAAGTGCAGGTGGTGGTCGATTCAAAAGCTTTTTGAAGTGGTCAGCTCATCATTTCCTTTGTTTCTCTTCTTTCGTAATTAAATTCCCTTCATCATCTTTTATTGGCTTCATCTGTGTTGATCTCTTCCCACATAGTAACCTGGTTATTTGATGCAATATTTTGATGAAGAACTAGTGTAATAAACACACACACACACACATACAAGTTGGGTCTGTGACTCAAAATATAGTGGCATATATTTGAACACCAGTTCTATAAGTTTCAAGCTGGAACCCTAAAGATTTGTTGGAATTACACCATCCATGGAAATCCTGGAATAAACTGAAAGATTTACCCACTACCAATTGATTTAAAGATATTGTGCCTAATGCTTACTTGATTTGAACTGCTACTCTAGTTTTATCGAAAATAACCAACTTGTTAACATAAATTTCACCTGTCGTTAAGTTATCATCAGATGAATGGCATGAATGAAGAAGCAAATATCAATTAAATTAGCTTATAATCAATTATACATGCACACTGTTGATCAATCAGACAATGAATGAAATGAATTCATTATTTATGAGATAATCAGTGAGTATTTTCATTGGATTTCAGTGTGCATAGTAAAAACTTTGAAGATGAATCTAAGACTTCTTTTTTGTCTGCAACAATCCAATCTCAGATGTATTTACTAGTCACCAAGCTTAGCAATCATGGAATGAAGCTACAAAACATGGTTCGCACTGAAGCATAAGCAATCATTGAAGCACTGTCTAATAATAAAACTTGACGCCTGTTTAGATCTTGCAATCAATTAAATGCGCAATATCTAACTAACTGACTAGTATATATAATTTACTTTGGTTAAGTCTACTGTACGGACTGATCTAGGAAGAAAATTGTTTCACATTATAAGTAACGGTCATTATTACCGCATGTTAAACTAGTTCATTTGACAAAACACAAAGTAATGCATTTCTACTGACTGGTTGATGTTTCTAGCACAGCGTAACACTTTATAATATCTTGGCAATCACACGTAATCATTTGGTTTTTAAAATTATCCTGAAATATGTGTTACTCACATTCATGTGAACATCGTCAAAGCACCATTTCTTAAGTGTTTTCCAAAGTATAAAACCGAATCAGAGTTGATGACTGAAAAATGAGTTCACATTCTCCTAACAGATGATTGGTTGCCGACGTGGACAGATCATGAACTAGAATTGACTTTGGCATTATCTTCTACTGCCAAAATAGACAAAATGTTAGAGTTGTTTCATCAAAGGTTGAGCTTCCGCTTGAACTGCACAATTATTAGTTCACTTAGAATAGCAAGTTAGTTAGAAAGGGATTTAGTCTGCCTATCGAACAAGACGATAGTTTTAACTATAAACAGCAAATGATGATTGATGGACTGATGTCACGTAATCCTAGACACGTCACTCAATTGTAGCCAAAAGGTTATTCAGCAAGTGATTCTGTTAAGCAGTCTAACATATCTTGTAAACAAAGTAGCACGGATTGGTAGCTTTACTACAGTGTCAAAGTTTTATTGTTCTAATAAAAAGCAGTAGCAACACCTAGTAAGACTGAATTCATTTAGAGTTTTTTTAAAGGCTTCATGGTAAGACGTTTGTACAGTAGTAAATACACGTAAAAATGAAACATTAGAACTATCGTTTCAGACTACAAATGATGCTTTATAAGTACTATTCAGGGCATCTATTATGCTGTTCTTTTAGTCTAGACTGTAAGTTGGTAGGTACTTTGTTGGAAAATGGTGCATAAAGGAGTAAGAGTTTAGTGGTGACTACAAGAATCTAGAGGGAAAAGAAGATAGAGAAAAACGACCCGCCGACTCAGAATGTATGTAGGATGTACCTATACTGGATATAAAAGATCAATGACAAATGGCAAAACTTGACAACTAAAAGGTGAGGAAGTCTAGAAATTGAAACTGGGAAGCGGGTGAGCCAGGTTTCAAATGAGTTACGGTTTCATACTTTCTTTCATTCAAACATTGAAACTGTTCAGCAAATTAAATATGGCCTTAATTAGAGAGAATCAACTAAAACCATCATTGCTTATATAGTATCCATTAGATTAACTTGCTCGCATAACATATTGCATTATGCATCTACCCAAACAAATAGTTGTTAGTCCTGAAATTTTGTAGTCAGATTTCTTTATTTTTAGTGATTTCCGGTATGCCAAATTTTATATACACTGAAAACATGCGATCAAATATTTTCACTCAGTGTACTTAGAATTCATTAATGTAACCATGTATGCACTAATGGAAATCACTGTTCAATACCTTTTTGCTGTCATAGACATTATGATGACCGAGCCAAGCACTAAAACCTTTCCTCATTATTGGATTTATCTGTATAAACCTATCTTAAGCTTAAACATAGCAATGTGATCTACATCTTAGTCAGGTATTAGGGGCGTATGAAATTCTCGACCTTAGACCAATGAGGCTAGACTTGCTAACTGAACTAATGTTCATCCCACAACAGTCTAACCCATATGCTAGATCCAGAATATTAAAGGCAATTAAAATCTTCTACAAGCTTTTAAGACTAGCAAAACGGAAGGTGTGTGATAGAAACGAAAATATCAAAACTGTTCAGTTGGCCTATAATGCTAATCTACAGAAACCCACTTAGGGAAATTAACCTGTCGAAGACAGCTGTTTCACTGCACTATGCACAATATCACGGTAAACAACGTCCATTCTAACATCACACAAGCCATATTATGTCGTTTACTTCTAGTTCATACAGTAACACTGACAAACTTTCCGAAGTTTTGAAAAAAGCCAAAATTTCAGATTGGCAAGTTTTCTTGTTCTCTTAGAAATTTTCAACAGCTCAGTTGTGGTGGTTGAACTGACCGTGCATATCTTGCAAACCCTAACATCAATAGATAATGAACGACGATTGAATGAAAATGTCCACAAGTTCCTGCGGTAATTCATTCCACACAACTGAAACAGGTCCACTAACAGAAGTACAGTGATATCTGCGAATACCTTATGTCTGTTTACACTTGCCATTTATATTGTTCTCTGCCTATCTGAAACAGCAGTTCATCTTCATATTTCAAGTTTAAATCGATATTTGATCTATACAGTGCTCAAACTTCATCTGAAATAATACATTTTGGTAAAGATTAGATAGGTAATAGGTGGGATAATGCTGGTTTGGGGAATGAAACAGTACTTTTAGCTAAAGAGATTCCAGTTTTTGCCACAAAGATATCTGAATTGGTTGTGGCTAATATTTAAAGCAAAGAAACGAACGTTCTAAGCTAGTCGTCCTCTGATCTAGTCTCTTGGCTGTCAAACTTTTCATCGTCATGTAAGACACCGTTATCGGTCTAACATAGCTTCAAAAGCAAGTGAATTCGCACACGGGTATGTATCACGTCCTGTTTTGCCAGGTTGTAATCTGCTTTGTGGTTTGGTAAATGTATGGGGATGGTGAGAACGTAACTGGCTGACTTTCCGTCTATGACTTCTTCAAACGATGGCACGATCATCTCATTGGTTAGCCTATTTGCTGGAATGAACTGATGAAGGTTGTCTTGGTTTGGTTGCTTGACTCGTATATGTTAGAGAGGGGATGCTTTACACCAACTGATGAGTTTCCCTGAAGAGAGGGGCGTCGCCAGCTAATGCCAGCTTTTTAGACTTCATTGGGGAGAGAAATCACAGTAACTAGCCCATCTAGTCTTCGCTGTATAGAGCCAGGCAAAATTTAGATCGTTATTTATACTTGTCTGCTGTAATTTACTGGTATTTGGGCTGTATAAAGACATATTTACAATGATAGAACAAGAAGTTGATCTTAAGCTATTCTATAGGTGTTATATTTTACACAAAATATGCGTATTGTGTTTGGCTTATTTGTCTATGTGCTAGTTTACTAGTGGATATGGCTCAAGAACAATTTTGAAATTACTTGGTGTCATTTCACATTAGCAAGAGTTTAAAAACAGTGCTTTTGAAACAAAAAATACGTCGGAAATATTATACTACTAAGGTCACATCAATTAAACTTGAAAATGCAATAATACTTTATCTTCGAGTAACTTAGACTGAAACAATAAATGTTCCGAAGTTCACAATACTAGTCATCGCGAATGACAGTTAAGTGACAAAATTCAACGGAGCTGCAGCCAAATGCAAGCAACTTGATCTCTTATACCTCCATGAAGTGACAAAGTAAAACCTTAGCGACTTTCTAAGACTATCCCACTCAAAATTTAAACATGAGTAAGAGTCGCGGAAGTGGAATGAGAATTGACTTATATTCAGACAGAACCAAAGAAGAGAGGTGACTTAATTCAATAACCGGTCACCAACATTTGAAGAAGGTTGTTATAGATGGATGATGTGGTGACAGTTGGCTTATAAGCGCAAACAGACAGTGCAGTTTGATGTGGATACAGTATAATGGCATGAAAATGATATGACCACAGCTATCTAACAGCAATGAGCTGATTTTAGCCTTCACAGCGCAACGCTACGACAAATTTCAGAAGATAGAACAGACTGCATTGAATTTTTAGCATTTGTTTTTCCGTGTCAATGTAGTAAGATTTATGTAGGACGTTAGAAGTGTTAGCGTCAAAAAGTTGCGTTACTTTTTGCTCGGCAATGACCGGTGGATCAAATGCTGCTAATGTTGTGAAAAAGAAAATACAAGAGTTGCAGACAGAGCTTGAAAAACTACAGTTTGATGTCATTACGGAAGACGAGGCATTGAGGCATGGAGCAGCTTTGCGTGAGAAGGTGTGAAGCATCATGAATTGATTGTAATCTTTTTTAAATGTAGGCTGAAGCTGAAGTGGCCGCAATGACTCGCAGAATTCGTCTTCTGGAAGAAGATCTTGAGGTTTCATCCAGTCGACTTACTGAAACCCTGGCTAAGTTGGAAGAGGCAAGCAAAACTGCCGAAGAAAGTGAACGGTAAGTGTTCTTGCCGAGTGGTTCTCTACTCGTACATTTTTATGCATGCAAATAGTTAAGCGTTGTTTCCTTGCATGTAGCATGTGGCGTCAAGTACAAAATAAAATGGATACATATGACAAAAAAGTGGAGCAGCTGAAGAAGGCTGCCGAAGATGCAGCAGAGGCTGCGAAGGAAACCGATAAGAAATATAAGGAGGTAATTATCTCATGAAGTTTCGAAAATTTTGAAATCTTATTTCTGATAACACTTTCACTTCTTAATTTTGATATCATGCGCACAGTGGACGAAAAGATCTTGAAATCCGTTCGATTGCGGATGACGAACGACTTAGTCAATTGGAAGACCAGCAAAAGGAAGCTAAGTACATTGCAGAGGATGCAGATCGTAAATACGATGAGGTGAGTTCCTAGGAATGTGTAACTATCTGGTTTTTATGTTTCCTCTTATAAACGTATTGTATGTGTTCGCTTATGTTTACATACTTTACTGGTTTGGATAACCTGCAACATCCCTGGAACCTGTGATTTTCTTTTGATAGTGGTGCTTATTATACCTTTTTAGAAAAGGTCCGCTGTGGTTTTAATTTCGTTATCACTAGAATCGCAATCTAGAATGCACCTCAATGAAGCAACAAAAGATGTCGTTAACTAAGTAGGGTTGAGGCTGAAAGTAGGTTTCACTGATGATCTATTGGGTCCTCCATATTTCACTTGTTGCCCTCGCCCTTCACAATCAGCTAGAAGACACCATTTTGTAACCAAAGGAATTTTTAGTATTTCCTTCTAAAATGGACTGCATTTATTTACAATAATTGTTACATACTCTTTTACTAAAATGTTATTTTCGACGGTAAAATGGTAGCTATGTTTTCTTGGTTTCTAAATTTGTTGGTATGTTGTGTTTTTACAAAACCCTAGCACTGGAAATACCTTTTTCTGGATAACTAAAATAGCTAAAAATATCCTTTCATAGGTGACTGTGCTAACGCTTGACTAATACAAGTGTCTAATTATTTCATGTCTTTGTGTTGTGCTTCCTCACTGTAAATTATCCAGTCTTCATAGGGTCTTCAATGTAAACAGCTCTAAGCAGGTATTTAGTGATAATCAATGCTTTCTATTCGGAATGACGAATCTATGTGAAGGTTTGTAAGGATTTTTCGCTGTAAGTAAAAGCAACCAATTGTGTCCGCCAAAGATTCCAATTGTCGCCATTCCTGTTTAATTTTGTCATAAAAATGCCTAGGGATTTAGCCGTAGGTAACTCGAAATTTGCATGGACTAAATCAGAGTAGAACTTCACACACAAATGCTTCGGTTCAATTTGCTATAATTCAAAGTAGCATGCAGTGAACAAGTGGGTGAGAGAGACTGATATCAAAGTAGACAAAGGTGTATGAGATGAGAGGCAATTTAAAAACGAAGGTTGGTCATATCATTCATGCTTTAGGAGACGTCAACGAATGAATACATCTGCACCACTGTCTACGATTTGTACCAAGATTCGTCAACCACGGGTTTCTATCGCCTCGAGGACCCCGGTCAGGGAATCCACACCTTCCTACTTGGCTTAAATTAACAGTTAGGGACTTCATCGACTGATGCTGTCTTCGTTTGGTCACCCTAAACCTCTTCCAACCTAATCCAACTTCCTCTAACATTGCATGTCTAAGTTTGCTGTGGCTCGGCATGCGCAGCACATGTCCAAGCCACCTCAGTCGTAATTTGTCTATATGTACTTTCAACTATCATGTTTCCCAACCGTTTAGCAGAACAGAACGAACTGCAGCACAGTATACCCGTTCTTTGATGGATAGTCAGATGTCTCTTTGGCGCCATACGAAGCAAGTTGGCAAAATGTCAAACAGACCTCTATCCAAGCTGAGATTTTGTCAGCAACCAACCCGTTCGGGCTGATGCAACTGCCCAATAAGTGAAGTCACCGACACTTCCAACCACTTCACTTCCTATCATTAAACTGGGAATAGTTGCAGACATCCTGGAGCACCATTTTACATTTGACAGGTGCGGAATGCATTTCAAACGTACTAAAGTTTCTGCTCAACGCGTTCAAAAGACACTACATTTTGTCACCATCTTCATTCAACAGGACAATTTCGTCTGTGTATTCCAGGTCAACCACCTGCCCTCTGGGAAGTATACGAATCACTTTGAAGTCAGAGGTATCTAAGGTTATATCCATTAGTACTTTTCTAATAAACGGAAACCGTGGCAGAAGACATCTGTGATTGGAACCACTGGTTGTAGTCAATTCGGATGGCAACTCTTCATATGCGCTTAAACGATTGCATGAGTTTTAGTAGGCAACTATGGCTAGCATCACATACCTGCTCGTTACTCCCTTTGCAGTAAAACACTGTCCAGAAACCTCTGGGTGGACGGGGTCGAGTGCCACTTTCAAGTCAAGAAATATAGCGAGTGTCGGCCTCCGGTAGGCATACCTGTTGAAAGGTGAAAAGCTGACCGATGCAATCTCGTCCAGGTCTGAAACCTGCCTGGTTTCTTCGAGTTTGTTGTTCTTGAACTCCAGTTGGCCGTCGGATAACTATGGGACGACCACCAGGTTCTGGGGTCGTCCATGTTGTGATATATAACAACTTGGACCGTTATGTCGTAATGCTAGGTCCTATGTTGATAGATATAATATTAGGGTTATATATCTAAACTGCCTTAAGTAGTTGAACTGTGGGTTAGATATATTAAGCCACCATCTATCTTGACGAACAGTGCTGGATAGAGAGGGATTAGGTTTAAAGTAAGATAAAGCAGACTGTGTTAGCACTTGTGTCTAGTCGGGTTTATGCTTTATTTCACACGTATTTTTAGTTGTTTTTATAAATGCCTGTTTCGGATATACCTAGAGCGAATAGGAGGAATATAGCTTAGATCAGTATAACATCGGTTCGTGAAATCCATGTGTATTATCAGAATCCGCCTCAAATTTTACTGATTAAATAGAGAGTTAATATGATTTCTTCAGTATCATATTTTGTCCAAATAAACTGAATTCTGATCTACCATTTAGATTCACAATAATGTAGTAAGTTATATATGTGTACTAGATGGGCTGATTCAGTTGCCGGGAAACCTTTTATCTAGTCTTCCTTGGTGTTGATATTAGGCAGGACGATGTGCTCAAATTCCGAATGATTCATATTCCCTTGGATACTTAAATCTTCATCAACCAGTGCCTCAGTCATTGTGTTTGCTGTCAAGCTACCCAAACTGTTAGTGACTATGCTTACAGCTAGATCACGTTTACCGGTGAATTGATGGCATTCTACAGCATCCTGATGTTCTCAATCCTAACCAGAATCTTATGGTTAATTGTCGGTTAGATTTGTGACGTCTTTTTAAATAAAGTTTATATGCAAGTTATCATAAACAAATTCAATGAATGCACATGTTTTCCTTTTTCGTTTTAGGCTGCACGTAAATTGGCTATTGCTGAAGTCGATTTCGAACGTGCTGAAGCTCGTCTTGAAGCTGCAGAAAGGTAGACAGTAATCTATGTATCACAGGCAAAAAAACGCATCTCGTGCATCGTCCATTGTGCTGCATGGTGTATTTGTACACAGAACATTTACTTTTTTATAATAATTGGTTCTAGTGACTATCCATTAGTTAATTAATTGCATGTTTCCTTTTTTCATATTTCTAAAACTCCCCTGTCATTATGCTGCACGTTTATATATTACCTGTGAATTGTCCAAATTTTCGAGATCTCTTGTACACTGGAAATAACGGAAAAGAATTTGGCTGAAGCTGAGTCACGTATGGCAAAGGCTAAAGAGTAAGTCTGTTTGTAGTTGACAATATTCTGCTCACATAGATATTATTTTTCTCTAGAAACGACATTATTTTACGTGGAATGCTAAATATCGCCTCAGGACAACTTTACAAGTGCACAGTTTAAGAATAAGGAAAAGTAATTAAGCATATTAAACACCTCACTTGTGAAAGAAATTGTGTCAATCCCAGAAGATTGTGGCTCATCATTTTAGGCAATTGACTTTCAACCAATAAGTCGCAGGTTTGAATGCCGCTCCATTCACCGAGATGTAGGCAACCAGGTAGCCCTTATATCAGGTGTCCCTCATTACCAATTGCGTGAACGTGCACATGGTTGCTGAGTACATTTGGATATTTTGGTGAAGATTGATAACTTAGAAATTTGCGATGAGTATGAAATAGTCTAGTTTGGAATCTCCCAGCTTATATCTGTGGTCGTATGAGCAGGGTTAATCTTAGGGTATTAGGTAATGAAGGTTAACCAATTGATAATATTGTAAACAGACAACTTAGTGGGAATACATAAGATTTGTTCTTAACTACTGCTTAGTATTTCTGTATAGATAGCAATAATGAGATTATTTTACCGTACAATGTGGATGATAAAAGGGTGTACCCAAACCAGTCACCATATGGCAACTGATGTAGCTGTCATTTCAAGATTACTGATCTAACCCCCCCCCCCCGATCAAGTCTCCAAAGTGACAATTGTGTTGATTTTACCCAATCTTAAGGTTGAACAGTGTACAGATAAAATGTCCGGCTTCATAAATAAGTGGCATAGACTCAAATCTTCAGAGCAACATGAGTTTTCTCAGGATTCCCGATATGTCTTGTTGATGGATGCCAATGAGTAAGAAAGTCAAGCTCATGTCATCCTCCCAATCAATACAAAACATCTAACAAGAAACTGAGGAACACAGATGTCAAAGTTGTCAATCACCTTGGTATAAATATATATGAAAAATTGTATCTTAATACTTACCAGTTTGGACCGATGCACTTGTGTGCGAGGTTCTATACTGATTTTGTCAGTCACTCAATGTCACCAGTTTCTTGTCTCAGTGTCATTTGGCACTACATCAAGTTATCAAGTGAATATGTGATCAGTGATTTGTTTGTTCCTCAAGCAGTAAGATTTTCAAGTACCTATTTTTAAATGAAATGTAAGCTGATTTTGCAGCTCAACGATACAAAAGATTTGTTTTTAGACCATTGTATTGTGGATTCAAACAACTACCACCTAATTTACCTAAACAACCGGTTAATATCCTAGGTCCATGAGATTTTGTTTTGTTTATTTTGATGCACAACCCATATTTTCACGAAACTTGTTAGCCACCATCTATTATTTTACGCGAAGATATCAATTTGGTATGCGAGTTTGAAGTGGTTGGAGGTAACTAGCAGGATGCCTTGGTTGAGAGCCTTTTGCATGATGTGAGTTATTATTAGGGTGGATTTACGGTCTTAGAGAGATTTCACTTGTTTGTTTATCTCGCTATTTATGCCTTTTATATCGGTTCGTTATCCATACCCACCTTTGTAAGTTTTGTACCAATGATGTTGTATACCTTGGCACTGAGAATATCTATTCAGATTTGCAGTTTAATGGGTTGATTCACAATTTAAGCTGAAAATATTTGTCACCATATTAACATCATTCTTATAGTATTGATATATTATCATTATCAGAATCACCATCATGATCACTACTATTTGAGGGTATTGTGGAAATATCTTAATTTTATTTAGGTTTCCTGTTAAATGCTGCTATCTTGTTCATAAATAATCTTATATATTCGTAGCTTTCTTCAGCATATCCATTTTCTTTGTTCTTATTAGGTTTATTGCTGGCCTAGAGAGTACTCTGAAGGAGTTGGCAGATAAATGGAAGGCTATGGAGATTAAAAAAGAGCGGGTATGTATTCCGTTGATTTCTATATTACTTTTCATTATTTTAATTAATATCAATGAAAACTGACAGAAATGCAGTTTACCTACTTAACACGTGTACCCCAGACTTCTTATGTACTTGTATCATTCTTTACACATAAATGTTTTTCACCGTCTAATAGGTTCTTGGAAATTGATTCATTTTAAGATAATTTTCCTGTGAACTAATACCAGGACCATCAAGATGGGCTCGACCACCATGATGTTTAACCCTTGACTTCTAAGTCTTGTTGCGAGCATGCTGCCGTACAACCGTTGGGTTGGAATCCAATGGTTTAAGTCTACAGCTTCCAATCAGTAGACCCTGGGCAACCGGATAGTATCATAAGTTCTGACACAGTAAGTGTGGCTCATAGCCTAGTCCAAAAACCTGGATCGGGTTAATTCGAATCATATTTCTTATCAAAAGTTGACTTCATTCTAATTCACAGTATACTACGACCACCATCTAACATTATCATTAGTCATCTATGCTTCCTATTACTTTGAACCCATAGGTGACAGCTCCCTAAGAGATTCATCTTGAGCACTATATTCTTTTCTAGTTAAGTGCTTTTCAGGGCATTAATCGTGACGTTAAGTTATAATCATACCATATTGAGAGTTGATTAGAGTTGATAAATGTCTGCCTTGTGAAACTCCTACTCATCCACTGAATATCAATGTCTTTGCTGTGGGGTCTGACAGTCCTCTACTCAAATCCATTTGATATTCTAAGCGTGCGCTACTGCGTCCATAATTCGAATGTAACATCTGCTCAGTTATTCCTTTATTCTAACAAGTCTGTAGCTAATGTCTATTTTTGATAAAACTCACTTCAAAATTGATAAATTTTTAGTTAATGATCACCTAAGTTTCATCAGAAATCACTCTTTTCCACATAGTTTTCAAACTACTATATCTTGATCTTAAACTCTTCAAGAGTGTTCACAAATTCTTTCTAAAGTTTGCTCCATTTTCTAATTTATATCTTCCTTGTTCTATTTCCAATGTTCGTAATGCTTTACATATTGAAATGTAACACAATTTGTGCCAAGTTCCTGAAATATCGTTGTTCTTAGATTTATAGTTCAGTGTGTGATTAACTGGAGTGACGTGAAAAAATCAGTGCAGTAGTGTATCATCTCACTTGGTTACACTAACCAGCGCGGATAAGTTTTAAGAAATTGGTTTAGATATTCATCAACCAACAGTTGGACCAGAGGTCCAGACTCACTCGAACCTTGTAAAACATAGACGATTGAAGCGAAGAAAATCTTTTCTTCTCGACGAAAGGATTCTTTTAGCTGCACATTCATGATATACAGTAAAAAGGATAGGATATGCCAGAGTAATTTCTGGTCAAAGGTCAGTATAGACTGCATCACAAAGGAAAGTTGCGCAACGGGGGAATAAACGGAATTATTAAAAAATAAAAACAGTTACGTCACATTTGGGTTATTTAGAGTGATCGATAATCTTCGATGTCCATGGTAAAAAAAGAGGTTGTACATACTTCTTTTGAATCGTTAATGCTTCAGATATGTTCAGATGTCTTAGCCTCACTCCTTTTGAGTGGCCTGGTCGCACTTTGTACAAAATTTTGAAGAACTTATCAAAAGAAGCGAAATGTCCTGAGTTTACTAAGTGTTCTGTTACAGAACTGAAGATGCATTTCTGTTCTCCCCTTGTCAGCTAAGTTGGATAGTGTTCGCGAGTGCGTTGCATAGGCTGGTACATGATACGCCCGATGTACTCGTACCTCTGTAACTTGGCCAAGCGAGTAGCACCATGCACCCACACACAGTAGTGAGTATAATTGACATCAGAAAATTTAGGGAAGACAATTTGATTTAAATAAGTAAGATATCTAATTCTTAGAGAAAGGTAACTATTGAATATATTTATGCTAAATGCTGCTATCTTAAGTCACGTTATCTGAGGTCTACAGCCAGTGACTTTGAATGTTTTATGGCTGTTAAACAGTTAATTAAACTGTTGTTAATTGGATGCGGGACTCGATTTTCAACGTGTTGAAAACTCACTCCCATCTACCAAGGTTTGACTAGCCAATCTAGTACATAACAGCCCTCAAACGATAGATGTGACTCATTGCCCAGTATACGGTTTTGTACTTATTTATTAAGTTGCATTACTAAAGCATAAGAAGTCTAAAGATTCCCGTTCTATCAAGAGTAACAGCCAGCTATTCAACGTATTGCTATCATACCTTGATCTAATCACATAGAGGATAACTCAACTCTACTTCTGCTTAAACCCACATCATAAACTTTGATAGGCACCTGTGTCACCGTCTCAATTAGTGGTGGCTTTCACCTTGAAAGATTAGTTCATTTACTTTGTTACTATCTCTATGTCTAAACTTTTGCGTTGCAGTGGTTTGCACTAACTTCTAATTTAAAGATACGGAGTGAAATGGTGGAATGCTTTGATCGCTTCACTTACTTTGGAAGTTGTTGCATTAGGCCTATTGGGTTAATTGGTGACAAAATCTCAGTCCATATATTAAAAAAAACCGTTTGGTATTTGCCGACGTATGACGTCTCTGGCACTGGTAGGATATCCTGCTATCAAATAAAGGACGAGTCAAATTTGTGAGAGATCCATCTGCTCTATTGTGCGACTAAAACAACCATTCGCAGTAGGCTTTAAAAATTTGCAGATTCGCAATTAAAAGTGTCTTCATAGTATTGCCCGTTTGTAACAGAATCGTCATGTAAAGTGTCGAAATTAAACTTAGGGTATTAG